ATTTGGTAACTTTTTCGTTTTATCTTGGTTAGAAGGTTCGTTGAGCGGGGGATACACTGAGTACATATCTCTCTATTCATTGCTCTTCTCTTTCTATGCCATGCAATTCTGCAAACACATTCCTGGTTCTGTTCGATGGGTCTGTTCGATGAATTGGGCTCTGGTGTTAATGAAAATAAGAAAATTAGTATCGACATTCTGTGCAAACAAAATGGTGGTTTTCACGTGGTACATTTTAATGCGCGTAAACTAGCTATGAAAAACTGGATTATGCTAGGTGTGTTTTTGAAGTCTGCAGTGGATGTTATTTGCGTTTCTGAGACTTGGTTTCATAGTGACCTCCCCGATTTCAACCTATCTTTAAACGGTTATAATTTATTGAGGCATGATCGTTATCTTAAAAAGGGGGGGAGGAGTTGCAGTGTACTGTAAAAAAAGTCGCTTTAGATGCATTATTTGTTGACTTGTGTTAGATTATGAGCGTATTCTGATTTGAGGTGATTTTAATGTTAATCTATTAATGTATGATTCAAGTAGTAGTAAGTTACAGGACCAGTTGGCAACAGCAGGGCACTGGGTTGTTAATGGAATTACACCAACGAGGTATGCTAATAACTCCACACCTAGTCTTCTTGATTATTTTATAACCTATGACCTCTTACATATTCTTAAATTTGTCCAAGTAGATTTTATTTCCGACCATGATTTAATTTTTTGTACTCTAGATGTTGTGAGGAATCGTCCAGGTGTAGGTGCTACCTTTTGTATTCTGATTTTAAATCGGTGAATGTAAACTCTTTGTATTCAGACCTGAGTAATATAAATTGGAATGATTGTTGGTTTCTTACTACTGTTGATGATAAACTTGACTTCTTCAACAATAACTTGTCCATGTTATTTAATGTGCATGTTCCACTTTGTTCTGTAAATGTTATAAATAGTTCGCATCCCTGGTACAATTCAAAAGTTAGTTCTGCCATTAGGAAACGCAATAAGTTTTATGCTAAGTGGAGAAAAAATTTGACGGGTACTTCTTGGCGCCGTTACACGAAAATCCGAAATGAAACTACTGCTATAATAAGACAAGCAAAGCGTTGGCACAGTTACTCAAAACTAGATCCTTCACTTCCGTCCAAGCAGCTGTGGCGCAATCTAAAGCAGTTTAAAATGCATGGCAAAGAAAGACCGGAGTGTGAGATTGACGTTGATGAGCTTAACGACTATTTTATTTGTTCTAATAACAAAACCAATCGTGCTCATGTGTTTAAAGATTTTGTATCTTGTGCTAGTCCAAAACATGAGCTCCAATTTATGGGAGTGAGTGAGGTTGATGTCCTGAAGGCGCTGTCAAAAATTAAGTCTAATGCTACAGGGGAGGATGGAATCTCGCTGAAATTCGTCCAACTAGTAACTCAATATATAATAGGCCCTCTAACCCATATCATAAACCATTCCTTTACTAGCTCATGCTTTCAAGAAGTTTGGGAAAAGGCTATTATTATACTAGTTGCGAAGAAGACAAATGCTACTTATGCTAGCAACTATAGACCTATTAGCATACTGCCTGCCTTTTCAAAGGCTTGCAAACACTTAATGGCTGCACAAATTTCATCATTTGTGCAAGAAAATAAACTACTGTCTTCACTGCAATCTGGATTCAGGCAAAAGCATAGTTGCTCAACGGCAATGGTCAAAATACTGGACGATATTCGTATAAACTTCGACAACGGCGACTTGACACTTCTTTGCTTACTCGACTTCTCGAAGGCATTTGACTTAGTGGATCACAATTTGCTGTGTTTGAAGCTTCAAAATTATTTCGGCTTCAAAGACAGTGCGGTGAAACTCATGGTCAGCTACCTTGAGGGTAGAACGCAAAAGTCAAGCAAATCAATATCCCGATCTAGATTTGTGTATACTGGTGTTCCACAAGGCTCTGTCCTTTGTCCACTGTTATTTAGTATCTTGGTCAATGATGTTTTTTCTGTTTGTCGGTATGTTAATGTCCATGCGTATGCTGATGACATACAGTTGTACTTGTCTAGTAGTATTGGTCACGTTGAGGATTTATGTTTCAAAATAAACCGTGATTTGTCTGCTATTTCTGTTTGGGCTAGTGGTAATTCTCTATGTTTAAATGCGTCAAAGTCGTATGTCTTGCCTATATGTAACAGTGTGGTGTATATCGATAAGATCCATAAATTGTTGATAGGTTCCAGTTCACTTAGTTTTACGGATAAGGTTAAAAATGTTGGGTTTATTCTCAACTCTAAACTTAACTGTACTGATCATATAAATAGGGCTGTGAGCAGCGTATGGGCTATACTGCGTAAGCTGAGTCTCTGAAACATTTACGCCACTAGAAACTCGACGTAAACTAGTTATCCAACTAATTTTGCCAATTATCACCTACTCTGAGATAGTATACAGCAAACTGGATTCAATATCTTGCCATAAACTCAATGTAGCATTTAATAATGCTACTCGTTACGTATGTGGGATTGATAGATATGAGCATGTTTCTGCCTGGAACACAAAGATCCTAGGTTGTAGTCTTGAGAATTATTTGTCCGCAAGGAATTGTATATTTATGTATAAACTTACTGTATTCAAAATACCTGCCTATCTGTTTGAGAAGCTAATACCAGTAAGGTCACTGAGACACAACTGCTTCATTATTCCGAAATTCAACTACCTAACATCATCCAGACTATTTTTCGTTAACCCGGTTAGGGCCTGTAATTCGTTACCCGATACCGTAAAGACTGGATTAAGCAGATTCAACTACAGGACACAAATTTACAATTATTTTAAAACAGTATGATTGCATGGTATTAGATCTTCAAAATTTGTCTCTATCTTTCTTTACTAAATTTCTTAAGTCCTACTTTTCCCTACTTTTTACTCTACTCTTTCTTCTACTTTTCCCTACTTCTACTCTACTTTCTAAGTCATATTTGTTCTTATTGTTAAGTTAAAAAAAAAAAAAACAAGTAAAAAGGGGCTGTCTTCGGCTATGCCGAAACCTTCATACCTTTCATGAAAATAAAAAAGCTGTCTTTCATCTACTACTTCTTACTAAATTTTCAGCGTAAAAATATTCAATATGAAAATACTATTTATTTTTTTATAAATATCTAATAAATATTTACATCGTACATACAAATTTCCTTATGGCTGCGTTTCTTTATACATTCCGGATAATCCCATTTCACAGCCGGAATAAACAGAATACGTTTGAAATATACGTTAACATCATGGTGCAATAATGAAAGGTGTTGTACGTTGTGACAGCTCGAAATCGAACTACCTTAGGTCAATATTGTATTTTGGAAGTACAAGATAAACGGGAATAAAAAAAAGCCTTTTAGTTGAAAAAGTACTAAATTGTATGCCTTCTCAACAGCGTTCCGATTATCAGAATAGGTATATATATGGCTTGGTAGTCTCATAAAATTGTAGATAATTAAAATAATAAAATTAGGCGTGTTTTTATTCACAGGAATATGATATGCTTAAAATTTTCGAGCTGATGAATACCCAGCTAGAACAGTATGGCTTATATAATTCCTTTTATGAGCCGTATCACTAAGAAAATTATCCCTTATGAATTTGAAATGTGTCCCTTATATTGTACAGGCCAAAAAGAGGAATTCATTTACGTGTGATCTTTTGTCCCCCTCTTTCATATAGGCTTCTTTTGCGCATATATCAGGTTTCATAGCTGTTGACCATACCAATAATGCCTCATGCTCAGTTTTACTTGATCAATTCGTGTTCTCGAGAAAAAAAAATTTCACGATTCAAAAATCTGAGTATAGCCGCCAAATTCATTGAAAATTCTTTGTTTTTTGCCCTATATTTCCTTTGTATGGTATTTTCAACAAAATATAGGCCAAAAACGATAAATGTTCAAACTTTGGAGAAAAACAATTTTTCAGATTTTTGGATCGTGAAAATTTTTTTTCTCGGAGAACACGAATTGATCTAGTAAATCTTAGTATGAGGCATTATTGGTATGGCCAACAGCTATCAAACCTGATATAGTCGCACTAAGGTTTTTTTGTGTTCCACAGTGTTATACAAGGGATACTTTGAGGAATCATATAAGGAATTATACATTACCCAAGTCCACGTATATCCAAGTTCGTATCATACAGCAAGCATTGACTACTTTTTAAAGTTTTATTTATTTGTTTTTGAAATTGACGACATATTTCAGAATTTGTAATTAATACGTTGTGTTCATTTTAGTAAATCCACTTTTTTAATTGTACAAAATTTATTATATACATACAGTATCGGTCATATCAATAGCAACCCCATTTCAAAGTAATATTATTTCCCTCTCATGTTAATTTATTTATTGCTAAGAATTTGCAACAAAAGTAAAGTTGAATTTCTAACAAAACTCATATAAACCGAATTTTAAAACTTCGTAGAAAACTACAAAAAATACAACAAATTTTCAACCAAAATTCAAACTTTTTTCTCAGAAGTGTTAGAATTTTTTGGAGCACTCAGTTTTATAGCCCCTTCAATTTTAATCTAATTATATGCAAGTTTGAAGTGGCTAAAAATTACCTTAGTTTTTTTAGAATCGATTAAAAACAAATCGTGTTTAATCGTCTTCTATATAACGAAAACTTCGACCATATATCGATTCCTGAGTAGAAGATCGACCTATCTCGGCAGCCAGGTCGAAAACGCCCGATATCAGAAAGCTTTTCAACGCCCTATTTCAAAATTTGGCTGAGAAACGCCCTATTTTAGAATTTGTTTGAAAAATGCCCTATCTCGGAACTCGGTTCAAAAACACCCTATCTCAGCACATTTTCGAAGTATTTTTATTTGTGATAGGACTTTTTTGAACCGACTAATAATAATAAAATATGTACTATATACATATCTAGTTTCAATATAAAAAAATTTATGTACACCATTAATTGTGTATACATATCTAAGTCAATATATGTGATATACATGTACATACATCTACATACATATCGTCGTTTAAAGTACAAAACCATGTATCAATAAATTGCAAAACCGCGTATAGAGATAATGCAAACCCACGTATGCGAGGTTGCATAAATTAATTTCTAGAGAGTAAAAACACTCATATTTCAAAATGGTTATCTTTTTGTAAAAAGCAATCGCATTTTTTGGCTAGTATATTTCAGGAAGAATGGATAAGGATTGATCCAAAAACGTGTGTGAGCGAATCCAATTTTTAGCAGCAAATGTCAGTTACGCGGTTTTGTACTTTAAGCGACGATATGTATGTTAACAGGAACGCAGCAATCTAATACACGGGTGGAGCAGGAACGCAGCACAGCAGAAGCATACAAAAAATCTGCAAATAAATGGTTTTTTAGGTTTTTAACAAACGAGAACCTGGTTTCAACTTACTTCAACGTGTCTAAATCACAACGCACACACTAATGCAAAGGCGCAACAGGAACGCAACACTATAAAATACGGGCGGAGCAATATACAGGCGGAGCAGGAACGCAGCACAGCAGAATCGTCCGAAAAATCTGCGAATAAATGGTTCATTAGGTTTTGAAATAACAAAGAGCTCAAATGGAATGGTTCAGCAATAAAGTCAAAATAATATGTTGTAACTTACGTGTATTAGCTCTTAATCACAATACCAGCACAGGTCGGTCAGCGAAACACTAAGGAAATGACCTAATAAATGCAAAATTATAATTTATTTGTAAAATAATTCGGTTTTATTACAATACTTACCAAATTTCACGCAATTGGAAAACAAATGTCAGCGAATAAGAACAAAACGAACAACGAAAATTGAATCAATGTAGCTTGTTCAGAATTTTTTTCTAATATTTTGGGAAATGTTCAGTGAAAATAGCAAAGAAACAACACAGTTTCTCCTAAGGTAGTTCAAGATGGCGGATTAGAGCGAGAAGTTGCCAACGTATAACACCTTTCATTATTGCATCATGCGTTAACATATCATCAGGAACGTTCTAAAGAATAAGTAAACAAAAAAGTTTATTCCAAACGTTCAGAATGAATAAAGAAATTCAGCTTATGTGTTCAGTTAATTTTTATACCCGAGCGCACTTGTGCACAAGGGTATATTAATTTTGTTCACATAATGGTTGTTTATAACAGCCAAAAGAATCGAGATAGATATAGACAAATGTATACATAAATGCTCAGAATGAATAGAGAGGTCGACTAAGCCATGTCTGTCTGTCCGTCCGTCTGTCCGTCCGTCGGTGTACACGATAACTCGAGCAAAAATTAAGATATCTCAACGAAATTTGGTATGTAGGTTTCCATTTATCCAAGGTAGGTTGGTATTGAAAATGGGCGAAATCGGACTGTAACCACGACCACTTCCCATATAACGGTAATTTTCAGAAATACGAAAACTGCTATATTTTAGTAACTACTGAAGATTATTCACTCAAAATTTATATTTACAATAACTTTTAGACGAAAAATAAGAATATTATACATTTTTGGAAAATGGGCGTAGCCACGCCCACTTATGGTTACATGTGTACATCTTGGTAACCGCTGCACCAATTTCTTCCAAACTTGGCACAGTTGTTGGCCTTGGCATAGCATACCAAATGGCCGACCATTTTTAAAATCGGACGATAACCACGCCTTCCCATATAACGGTAATTTAGAAAAATATAAAATCTTCGATAAATCAGTAAATATTAAAGCAAATTTATTCAAAATTGATGCTTGCAACAATTCTTTACCAAGAAAGACGTTTATGATAAAATTTTGGAAAATGAGCGTGGCACCGCCCACTTATGATTACATATATGTATCTCGGTAACCGTTATACCAATTTGTACCAAACTCGGTATGGTTATTGTGCTTGCCACACAAAAGCAAAATGTTGAAAATTATTGAAATCGGACTAAACTTACAGCCGCTTTTCATATAGCGGTAATTTTCAGAAATGCTTTAAACTGCAATATTTCGAAATTTAAGGACGCTAATTTGCTCAAAATTGATACACCCCGGCTTACCATCTAGCGGTAGGTTTCGGAATGGTGAAAAACATATATTTAATACTTGCGCCGGGTATTTAATGTTCGGTTCCACCCGAACTTAGACTTTCTTACTTGTTATTTTATTCTTTATTTAATTTTTATCTACTACTTTGAAATTTCAATTACATTAAATACTAGTAATGTTTAGCAAAAAAAAACCGACTTCAACTCCCATATAAAAAAATATATATATATTATATATCTCATGATCCACTGATCGGATGTCAACCAGATTATTATGGGACCACCTCTGAGACACTACCTTTCCGATGCAAAAAGAATTATCGAAATCGGTTGACGTGGTCCAAAGTTATGCGGTAACATACATAAAAAAAAAAGAAAAAAAAATAATATGCCGACGAACTGATAACCTCCTCCTTTTTTGGAAGTCGGTTAAAAACAAAAACACTTATGATAAAGTAAATTAAGAACAACAAAGTGTTTAAATACAAACGTATGTGGTACATGTGAAAATATAATAACATTAATCGCCAACACTAAAAAATATCCCGTCATGGTCGCTGAATGAGGTTTCATATGTTATCGCCCTTGTTCTGTCTGCAGAAAATCTTGCCAATAGCCAATCAATCGCGGTGTTTTGCTTTGTAGTAGGAAGATGTTCCAGTAAGGAATGCAATCCTAGTTGGCTCAAGCGCGTTCCAAGAACATCATTTGACGTAATGCGACAGACATTAAAGTCTCCAACAACTATTAATTCTCCATTATTTCTATTACTCAGCTCCTTTATATCTACTTCCAATATTCTCCTAAATGCTGGTAATGAAAAAGATGGATTTCTGTATACTTCAGCGACTGCCAAGTCTGGTTTTGATATCGCCAGAAACTGATACACTTTTCCGGCTACATGATGCCTTTTAATGAAACTTGTGGTACCAGGCTGGTCTGATCTAAGTATTTTGTGCAAATAAAACTACGTTATTTCACTTTCTGGCCCAACGTTTCGCTAAAACATTTTTAGCTTCTTCAGGGGCAATTCCGTTTAATTAAATCTGTCACGAACCATAAAATACAAAAACACATTATAACCAAAGATAATAAATGGAAACATAAAAACATGTACATATATGGAATTAAAATGACAAGAAAAACTACAGATTGAGCTTGAGGACAAACAATTTGACTCACACTATTTTAACATTAATACATACGAATTATTGAACACTAAATACTAATAATCTATACCAT